AAGTTGGGCATGCCCACGCTCCACCGCCGTTGAGCCCACATGATCGCAACTCGGCCCCCGCGCGGCCAGGGTGGGATTACGTGGGTCATCTATGGGCAGCCGAAGTTGGGCATGCCCGCGCTCCACCGACGTTGAGCCCACATCATCGCAACTCGGCCCCCGCGCGGCCAGGTTGGGATTACGTGGGTCATCTATGGGCAGCCGAAGTTGGGCATGCCCGCGCTCCACCGCCGTGGAGCCCACATTATCGCAACTCGGCTCCCGCGCGGCCAGGGTGGGATTACGTGGGTCATCTATGGGCAGCCGAAGTTGGGCATGCCCGCGCTCCACCGCCGTGGAGCCCACATTATCGCAACTCGGCCCCCGCGCGGCCAGGGTGGGATTACGTGGGTCATCTATGGGCAGCCGAAGTTGGGCATGCTCGCGCTCCACCGCCGTGGAGCCCATATTATCGCAACTCGGCCCCCGCGTGGCCAGGGTGGGATTACGTGGGTCATTATGGGCAGCCGAAGTTGGGCATGCCCGCGCTCCGCCGCCGTTGAGCCCACATTATCGCAACTCGGCCCCCGCGCGGCCAGGGTGGGATTATGTGGGCCATCTATGGGCAGCCGAAGTTAGGCATGCCCGCGCTCCACCGCCGTGGAGCCCACATTATCGCAACTCGGCCCCCGCGCGGCCAGGTTGGGATTACGTGGGTCATCTATGGGCAGCCGAAGTTGGGCATGCCCGCGCTCCACCGCCGTGGAGCCCATATTATCGCAACTCGGCCCCCGCGCGGCCAGGGTGGGATTACGTGGGTCATCTATGGGCAGCCGAAGTTGGGCATGCTCGCGCTCCACCGCCGTGGAGCCCACATTATCGCAACTCGGCCCCCGCGCGGCCAGGTTGGGATTACGTGGGTCATCTATGGGCAGCCGAAGTTGGGCATGCCCGCGCTCCACCGCCGTGGAGCCCATATTATCGCAACTCGGCCCCCGCGCGGCCAGGGTGGGATTACGTGGGTCATCTATGGGCAGCCGAAGTTGGGCATGCTCGCGCTCCACCGCCGTGGAGCCCATATTATCGCAACTCGGCCCCCGCGTGGCCAGGGTGGGATTACGTGGGTCATCTATGGGCAGCCGAAGTTGGGCATGCCCGCGCTCCGCCGCCGTTGAGCCCACATTATCGCAACTGGGCCCCCGCGTGGCCAGGGTGGGATTACGTGGGTCATCTATGGTCAGCCGAAGTTGGGCATGCCCGCGCTCCACCGCCGTGGAGCCCATATTATCGCAACTCGGCCCCCGCGCGGCCAGGGTGGGATTACGTGGGTCATCTATGGGCAGCCGAAGTTAGGCATGCCCGCGCTCCACCGCCGTTGAGCCCACATCATCGTAACTTGGTCCTCGCAAGGCCAAGGTAAGACCCACGGAGGTTTTACCGAGTTGGGCGGGGCACGCCCAACTCGGGCGGGCCCACGCTTTGCCCCTGTCTACTCTGCCCCCTTATTGCCGAGGTGGGACCCACGGAGGCATTGTATGGGCAGCCCAAGTTGGGCATGCCCAGGCTGTCCACGGTGGACCCCTCCTCTTGTGCTACTTGAGGCAGGACGTGGGTAGTTAAGGAACGCAGGACGTCGACGTGCGTTCTTGCATCTTGCCTCGCGATTATTTTTTTTTCGTTCTTATCGGTTTGTGGCGCACAATAGAATTTTGCTAGATCGCCCCGGTGACTCCGATAACGATACCCGATCCTCCGCCTCCGTTATTGCGTATGTATCGTGTCGTTATCGGGCATCGTTATCGGGAGTATCGGGGGTGTCAGAACGATCTACTAAAGCCCTCTATTCTCAATGGCTGTGGAGTGACCTAAAGATGGTCAGGACTTACCACGCCTTGCTTTACTTCAATTCACCCTCAGAAACGGGGGGGGGGGGGGGGGGGGGTTTACTTGCACTTCTTGTCTCTCATATAATACCTCAAAAACTTCAATTCGACGTTCAGTCCACTAACGTCGAACCAACGATTCCGAATTTCAGGAACGGCTTGATAGTCGAATGACATAATTTATTAAAATAGCTAATGTAGGCATTACAGACTACACGAAAAGAGCCAAGGTTTTGTTGGCCCTGCTGGAAAACCTCACTGTTGTTGTTGTTGTTGTTTTTTCAGTCTTCGACACATCGATTAGCGATTTAGTAAGTTATATCACAGAGCTATCAAGACGCTCGTAAAACTTGATATCGTCGACGTCGGTGCACTGAACGTCGAAATGTGGTTTGTGGGTGACATAAATGAGTCAAGGTGTGTAAATCGTAAGTACGCCCCCTCCCCCTCCCTGAAGACTTCCAGTAAGTTCATTTTTTAGATCTTCCTGCAAGCTTGGACTACCCTTGTATTCCCCTCAATTATCGCGTTAATTAATAATCTATATTTAGTGTATGTGTATATTACGGGTCTTGAGCCACTTCTTAAACGTGTTTGTTTGAATGGAGAGTGTTTTTTTTTAGATGCTCCTTTATTATTTTTCAGCATTTTACACATCCATTAGAACTGTTGGGAATTGGCCTCTATTGTCCTCGGAATTCCCTTTAAGCCCCTAAGAAACCTCGCTGTATTTCTTTTTCCTCCTCGTTGCACACCGCAGGTCGCAGCACGTGGAGTGAAAGTTCGCGCTGCAGAAATCAGGGATCCTGGGATCAACTCCCGCCCCTGTCACCTTTCGGTCCGCATGAGCATCGTACAAGCGTGCGGTCACGTATCACCACTGCGTGGTGTACGTTAAAGACTCCCATCTATAGCAGTCGTTCTGCACTGGTCAAACATGCCATCTGCAGCGGGTAACAAAGTCTCCATACTCTGGCAGACTAAACTCCTGCTGTCTAGAGAACTAACGACTAAGTTATTTATTTAGGTGTGTCATTCTTAAAACGTGGTTAAGATCGATATATCTGACTCCGGCCTTAATGTGGTTAAGATATGTATCCGACACTCCTCTGTTTCGTGTTTCTTGCCAGAACAAAGACGTCAGATGATTATGGACGAGGTCAACTGTTAATAAATTAAATAGTGAATATATAAACGTAAAGAAAATAAATATAAATATGAAGCGACAATGGGAGCACCAGCGTGAACGGGTTCGCTATGGTAAATCGGAGACTGCACTATCACATTAATGGGTTAACAGCACAGCCAAACATTCATATCGCAGATTTAAAATAGCTGTCAAGAAAGGCGGTAAACTTTTTATTTTGTACCTGGTATATATACGAGGATATCTTTTCGACTTGTCCGTAGCTCATTCGACCAAGGGGCAAACACTACAAAGACGTATGTGAGTTGGCTTTCCTACATGACACGCGGAGACAGTCAATCGCGCGAAAGAAAAACAGAATCCCAGCAAATAACGAAACTCTGAATACAAATAAACATTTGAAAACAAAATTCTATTGCACAGGGTGAACGAGCAAACATTTATCTTGCTTATTGTTACTGAGCACATGATTTTTGTTTTACATTATTGTTTTATGGATCGAGCCTACGTCATCAGTTTTGAAGCCGCGCCAAACGGCACCTTAAATCCTTTTTCCAGATGAAGCCAGCTCCCTGCTATGGAACCACGCAACAAGCCTAGCCAAACAGCACCTAGTTTTCCCGATCCCAAAGGAGCGGAGGAAAGCTGATGGATTTCGGCTTCGACCCCATCGGCTGGCGCGCGTCGATGAGGCTCCCATTGGCCGCTGCGAGTCAGTTTCAACGACCGCCGCCCCACGAAATTGTGTGTCCGTCAGCACGCCGGTAACACGAAATGTCCAAGGTCAGAGCGGCGAAGAGAGGGCGCGCTCTGCCGTCGACGCAAATACGCTGCAGACGAAGTAAGGGAACGAAAGAATGACCGTGCATGCTTTCGCATTCACAACTCATAAGAAGTGCTTAGGTGAACCTCGAGCCCTTTTTTATCTAATGGTACCCTGAGCTCCGTACGTCATTCGCTCGTATCCTTTTATTGTTCCCCGTGATTGTCTTTTCTGAAGTTCCTCAGCACTGTAAACTCACTAACGGTTTTAGAGCGCACGTTCCCCGGGGACACGCGAGCAACGTCGTTCACTTGTTTACTGGATGGATCAGTTTGTTTGAACAAAACAAAGTCGAAACTTTTGAAATCTTGTTTCCTCCGTTCCAATTGAAACGTATAGATACCGATAAAAACTTGAAATGTAATTAAAAAAATGCCCCGGGATTTCGTGACATGATGTACAGACCAGTGTCAGGGTCTGACGATAATATTCTCTGAAAAAGGAGAAGAGAAGAAGAACAGCTCGCTTGCACCTTTGCATTAATTGCATTATCGTCAAAGTCTCGTGATTTCTACTTTTCCACGATACACGGGGAGATTCAATCATCACTGCAATCTAGGGATGGAGTTCGGCGAATGAGGAGACGGAAGGTATGTTTAGAAATAAAAATAAAGTCTGCAATGCGACTCGGTGCATAAGGCGAGTTGAGAATCGCCATGCTCAGTGATCCATCATAAATTTCATTAAACGGGCTCAGCGTCTTTTTTTTTTTTTTGTTTTTTTTGTTGCCGCGGTATTTGTCGATTGCAGTGATTTGTCTTCCGAGTGATATGAGTGAAAGCAGACGAGCAGACGTTTGAGTCTACGTGAAACTTAAACTGAATTCGTCAATGCTATAAAAAAGAAATGCTTTTTGGGTGCCTTAGTACTAGTAGAATACCATAAAAGGCGCAGCAAATTTGAACAGCAACCGAGACTTGCTGTTCACAATCTTTCTCAACGCTTATGACGTTCTCGAAGGAAAAATATTTACAAGTACGTTTCGAACACCGTGAACGAAGACATCCAACTCTCCCTTGTCTAATCGTAACTGCGAGCCCGCTGTCCCGCGCAGGAAAAAGAGAAAAAAAAAAACAATCGTAACTTGCAACTTAACTCGCAACAGGCGCCACGGCCTCCTTCCCATCTTCTCCGCTCCATTGATACGGAGGAGAGACGGAGAAGAGGAGGAAGGGAGGGAGGTGAAGAGGGAAGGAGGGGTGCGGACGAGGAGGAAAACCAGCGTGGCGCGCGCGCGCGCTCGTTCAACGCTTGAGCCGCCCCCGAAACCGCCGGCGCTTCTCTGTGTCCCCCCAGTCTGCGTCCGAACTGCGGAGCCGGCGGTTTCGATTTGGGCGCTCCGTGTTTTAAGTTGGCATCTCCCCCCACCCCGATGGTTCACCGACGTCCCAGGACGCTTTGCCCGGTGGCGCTGGCGACCGCCGTGGCCCTGGTGTCCGTGGCCAGCGTGGCCCTTCGAGTTCCCCCGCCGTCGTCTTCCGACGTACGCCACGACGGCCTAGGGGTCGGCGGCGAAGTGGGCGCCGGCGTGAGCGGCGACGACGAACAGGCGTCGCCGCTGCCGACGCGGCGCCGGTTCGTCGGACTGTGCAACAGGGTGCCTCCGGGAGTGCTGACGGACAAGTCGCCCGGGTACAACAACTTCAGCATTGTCATCTCAGGCAGCCCCAAGAAGTACGTGCCGGGAGAAGCGTACACCGGTGAGTGAGCCGCCCATTCTTGCGCGACAGAAAAGAGTTCCGGACCTGAGTTCCTTTCTTGTTTCATTTGTTTACTTTCGGACTCGTGACTCTTGCTCATGAGGTAATTTCCGCGCACACGCACACACATATGATCAACAATCAGCATGAACATAAGTGAAAAAATATTCCTAATTAAAGTAACGCCATGCAGCCAAGACACAGAAAAACATGCGAGCAAAAAATATGAATAGTCACGAATAAAAACACATGCGCACACACACACGCATACGCACGCATCAGAAGGCATGGTGCGTAATGACGAACAACCCTCACTGAAAGAGCGACATGTCACCAAGACACAAAATATGCGCTAACGAAAAGTATGAATTGCCACGAATAAAAACAAAATCAGAGTAAAAGACATGATCAAAGATGGTGAACAACTCTAATTAAGACAGTGACGCCTAACGAAGTCACAGTAAAAACATGCGCACAAAAAGTACGTCTTCGGGGATTCTCGAAAAGCTTCTTTTTACATTGCTCAAAACAAAATTTAAAGAACAAAACGTTTGTTATTTCGTTGAATAGGCGATTCGAATTCTTAAGGGTAAAAAGAAAAAAAAATATTACTGGACTACGCTCTTTTGTGACAATGGTTTGATGATATTGAATGGTGTCATTGCCTACGCGAATTAGAGATGGTTGATTGCGTATTTAATGGGTAAATAATGAAAAGATATCTAGTTATTTGTATTATACAAATGTTGAATTACACTGCTGTAAAGAGCACGAACCAGTCAGCACAAATGTTTTAGGTATTCTTTATTAGCTTTAGAGCCGAAAGGCCATACAGACGTATTCAGTGTACTCACGTGCGAGGGACCTTATGAGCACATTGGAATGTGTTGCTCAATGTTAGATCTTCGGATAAGCGCCAGAAAGAGGAGATTTTGTGTTTACGTTGTGTCAAGCTGTGTGTATTAATAATCACCCAGAAGGAACTAATGTATCAAACTGTGCGGAAGAAATCACGTATTTTTGAAGTAATTTGTTCATTATTAGTAGTAAGAGGCCATTGAAGTTAGGTTATAAAAGGCAAATTGGTATCAACGTTATTTCAATTTAACTCAATTTCATTCGCTTCTACGTCGGAATGAAATATAGGGCAACCGCCGACTTGAGTTATATATTATGAAAATGGGAAAAGAGATAACCAGTGAGAAACTTGTCTACCAACCTTTTCCCGGTATACTGTTTAACATCAAAATTAACGTACGAACAGGTGTATTTGAGACATTAGAAGTCCCTCAGATGTTATTTCTCGTTGGGGTGAAAAGTGTCTGAGTTAATAAGCTTTTAACATCCGATGACTTAGGTAACGACGGAGTTCCCTTCAAATTATATTATTCTTTTTATGCTGTCAGAATGCGTTAGCCCTAAAAAGTGGTGACGCTGATGTCAAATAGTTATTCTCGTAAATATATATATATATTCATGATTCTCTTAAAGCTTGGTAATCTGTATTGACTTTTCTAGTATCAAGATTTTTCATTCGTTCCACGTCATGATTCCGAAAACAAATGCACAGATCTTATATTTTGGGGAAATGGTGAATACATTTTCTTTCAAAACGCTTATATTTTATTATGCAATCTTCGTTAAGTATTAGGTATTTTGAATCATATAAACGCCACTTGATAAAGTATCGTTTATTCTTCTGAATGTGTAAAAGTGTGATTGTTAAATAATACATCCTATTAAACTTCTGTTGCTTAGTTGATCAATATGTTCGAGCCTTTGTTACCCTTTAATTGACGTTCTCGTGTTTATGCATGTGGACGAGCAGAAAATAAGCTAATTACATTTTAACCAAATTTACACTAAACAATATACTGATAAAAGTGCAGTCATGTAGGGGAATGATTCTATATTACTTAATATTCATAAAAAATGTTTCGATCAGACTACGGTTTCTCTTAAATATATAATTTTGATTTAATATCTTTAATAGAGGATCGGTTTACAACCTTATTTAAGGTTCAAGTGGCTGTCACGTAAAACAATTGTACATGAGCAAAGAACTACAACAAAAATTGTAATGCTAATTTGGGGACATTTATTTAGTTATTTATACTGCCAGCATTCGACATAAACACCAAGGCAGGAGGCAGACAAGGTCACATACGACAAAAAGACAAAATATATCCAACAATGCAATGCATATGCCATGCAATTCAACTACTCAAGAAAAAAGTGCCTCAGTAGCGCGTCGTTAAAATTGTTCGTGATTCCGAACTGGTAACACTTTTAGGAAGTTTGTTCCGTTCGCGTATTGCCTTTGGAAAGGATGCTTTAAACAAAAGTATTTTTACACTATGGTTTCATTATTGTTAGACCGTGTTTGTTTCTTGCAGGCCTCGCTTCGTTAAATGCCGAGTATAGTGGTTAAGACAGTCGCAGAATGCCGTGAACTATAATAAAAATCAACTATAGGGGATTCAATTTTCGTCGTGACGCTAGATCTTGTAGTCCCGGCAAGCTTTATATTTCGGAAATCGAAGACATAAACTAAAGCAAGTGTGCGCCAACCGAAATGCTTTTTTAATTTTTTTTTATTTCACAGTTTTGAGAGCATTAGAAAGCGACTTGGTATGGGGATCCCACAATATCTGCATATTCCAGCATGGGTCTAATCATAGTTCTATAAGCCGCCAAATTCGCTTCCGTCGTGCAGTGACAAAGGTTGCGTTTTAAAAACCACAGTTTTCGCAAAGCTATCTGAGCGATAAATTTCACATCAACTTTCCAGGTGGCAACTGCAGCACAAAAATATTGAAATTGCTGAACAAACACAAGCGGTTCACATTTTATTTCTTTTCCTTTTATAGTACCCTTTGAATAAACGTTTTTGTGTGTGTGTGATTCGACGTAAGGAACTCCTTCTAAATAGAATATACAAAATCGAGATATATATGTAATTTTAAACTGTTATTTAAACACTAACAAATACGTACTAGAGTACCGGGAGTATATCATTGTATACAGGCAGAGGCGGGGAAAATAATTTTAAGATCCCCGTATCTCGGGGCAGAGAGAAAAAAGAGACTCAAAATAGGTTTTACATCTTTATGGAAAAAATCAATTGGGCAGATTGTGTAACTATTATAAACCTTAAGAGTTCGGAAATTTTTATTGATTTAAGAATGCAAACTGCCTAAACCCCCACCTCATAATATGTGTCGGCTTTTATGGAGTTCCGTTAATAGGAAAGCCTAAAAAGAACAATAAGTCTTGCTCAGGAAGACGTGCACACGTTTGACCATTTTGGCTTTTACAAGAAAAGGGGATGTATAGTTGAAGGATAAAATGAAGGGTGAATTGAGACAAACATTGTTTTGCCAACTAATTCGTTTGTTTTTGTTTTTTGTTTTGCTTCACATTCTCAGTCAGAAAATGAATGTTGAAATATACATATTCGAGCAATACAACCTCATGATAAAAAAATATTTGCTGATTTCACTTACTAATTTTTATAGTAAAGTTCAAAGGCTGCCAAAAACTTCACCATTGATTCAAATTCGATATTTGTACAAGGGTTGCCGGAGAAATACTAATTTAGTATATATGTCATTAAAAGGCTATTCTGTTTTATTTTCATGTTTTGTATTAGCGCAATTACTGCTGTTGTTGAAATAACTTGTTCAAAAATCACGTCAAATAAAAAAAATCGATTGACTCAATCACAAAAGCTTTAGAATCATATATAAAAAAACTTATCTGGTTTGTCTTTTTAGGCCTTCCTTTCACGACGCCAAACAGCTTGACATCTGCATTGACAGCTGCCTTAACGAACTAATGACAAATTCTTACTCTCAAAGCAAACTTTTTTATTATGTTTAAAGTTTCACTCTGATTTAGCAGAGTTTGGTCCTAATATCATCAAAGCTCTCCTGCGATACAAACTTTGTGGTTAGACACCTGCACAACTCTTTACCGCGTAGCCATTGAACTGAGAGAATTTTCAACCGGTATAGTTGATCTATAGAAATAACAAAGCGCTAATCATGGAATGCTGTGCTCATTCCTAACAAAACCGTTTCGCTAAACTAAAAAAAAAAAAACTCGCTGTTTTACTTTTCAGAAAAGCGCAAGTAAAAATAATAAATATATATTAAAGAATGGGGATACCGTGGAGACATTAGAGGATTTTTCTGTTCGACAATGCTAGGTTTTCAAGCACGCTATTTTGGTTTTCGCAGCCATTATAAAATGAGGGACATGTCCTTCGTAGAGCCCTCGCAGTATGGCACAATTTTAGTTTGTTCGGAATGCGACGTGACGATATAGAGGACACGTAGTATATAGGGTAACGACAATCCGCCGCGAGCAAGTGTTCCAAAAGGCGTCTTTGGCGGGTCGGAGGAGAAGGAAGGGTACGGCAATCGGGGGAAAACACAGTGAGCGTGAAGAGCAGAACAACTTGCATGACGTATTGGTCAAGACAACTTGGAGAACAGATGCTAGTGTGAATTGTGGTTCTTATTTCCTGTCATAGTGTTCATGGAAACGTTGTTCCTGAGTAATGGTTATGACTGTAGTAATTTTGTTTTTAAACAGAACTCTACGTTGACACGCTGAGAATGTGAAACTTCAGGGGAGGAGGGTGCCCCCCGGTACCCGTTGCCTTCGTAGAATAAATACAAGTCACTGCTTCCAAGGTTTTAGGTTCTTCGCCCCCATCGTAATGACCGCTTCTCCGCATGGTTCACTAAAACGCTGACAAGCGGCTGTTTTTTTTTTGTTTTATTTTTCTTGACTGTTTCGTATTTACTTTGTGCTCGCTCTAAGAATGTAGCTCGGCACAATTACGTATAACATAATGCAAAAGTACAATGAAATATTAATGGTAGTCCATTGTTGGCGGAAAAAAAAAGAAAAAAAAAAAGAAGAGAGAACCTGACGTCTCTAAGTTTGAAAACGTTGCTCGTTCCGGCCAAAAACTATTGTAATGATGGGAC